GTACCCTTCCCCTCCTAACGCCACCTTAAAGGAACTTAAAAAACCATGGTCAGTACCTGGAAATCTGGACCAGTGTAATGGGACAAACTGTTCTCAAGGGGTTGGTGGACTCCGGCTCAGCGATGAGAGTGTGCTCAAGGACTTACAGGGAGTGCAGGCTTCAGTTCATTATAACTTCAACATTCATGAATGCAAACACAGATAAAACCCCTGACAAACCGCGCAGCACCAGACTACAAGCAAATTAAGGGCAGGGGCTATGTCTTCCATCTTTGAATTTCTAAGCTCCAACACAGCTCCTGGTGCATAGGAGGAGCTCAAAATCTCCTTGTTAACATTTACTGAATAAACTGAATTCCGATGAATAATTGGATACCCAGAGGTACACTAGACAGTAATAGTATCCCTTCTGTGGTTCTCCCTCTTGCTCACAGGTAAAGGAGATGCTTCATTATTTAGCTCTTCAGCAGTCCTTACCTGAGAGCTGGAGTGAAAAGAACCCTGGGACAGGGGCCAGGAGTCCTGAGCTCTAGCCCTGATTTACCAGTTATTAACTTGGTGTCCCTTCGATGATGATGCCTTCCTCTCAGGTCTCAATTCTCCACCTATGAAATGAGTGGATTATGCTAAATATCTCCCAAGTTCCCCTCTGACAGTATCCTTCTGGAATTCTGAGGATCCAGGGTCTTATTACCACCCAACATCTAGATAACGAAAGATTCTGCCCTATAGATCCCTGGCTCTTGGGATGCTCCCCTTTGGGTGTCTGGCTTTGGCTTCTTTGGTTCTTTGATTTTGATTGTTCTTTTTGTTGCTTGTTACTTTTCCGTCTACTGTTCTACTGACCATCTCTCTGCTTTATGCATTTCTTATAAAGTTTTATGGCTTTCAAAGTCCATAGATAGCCTAACCTTTGCCATTTCTCCCTAGCCTCCTTCTCGATTCTCTCTATTCGTGACCTCTTTTTTCTCCCCAGAGGCTTCTTTCTCTTCCTCAAGTTGGTCTTTTTCTCTTCCTGCTGAAATCCTAACATGCTGGACTCTAGCCCAGATGAGCAATAGTTGTATTTTGATCCTATATTCATATAGGAGGGAAAGTAGCGCATATTTTTCCAGAGTCCAGCCCTTCCCTACTCCCCTAGAGGCATCTCTTTATCCAGATGAACGCTGCCTTTTCTGATTAAACCTTCCAAAATCTATGTGGTGCCACACCACTCTAACTGCCCTGCATTTCTTATCCTCTTGCCTGTGCTCCTGTTTGGAATCTTCACCAGGAGAGGGGAGCCTTTAGCCTTTTTAGAGAAGGAGAAGCAGAACTGGCATTTCTTAAGCTAGTGCTCTTCTCTTGGTCTCTTATGTGTGTGGAATATTCATGGCTCTTCAGCTAGCCTGGCTTGCTGTAGGTAACACAGACTAAAACAAAACAGCTGACTTCCCTTCCACTGGGAATTCTTCCCTGTTCCAACCCTGCTTTAGTGTGTGGATGCTAAGCTACCCCGTCTCCTCACCTGCCTGCCAGCACTCTGGAGTCTGCACGGCGAGCTCCTCCACTCCCTCTCTTTTGCAGTCACTGGATTATTAAATGGAATATGATTGTTTTCCTTTGCTCAGGCAGTGTGTGTGTGTGTGTGTGTGTGTGTGTGTGTGTGTGTGTGTCTGTGAGCTTGAAAGTCATTGTCCTATAGATATTTTTATAACCTGAAGCAATTACAGCTGTCAGCACAGAGACAAGCTGTGACAAGTTGATTTATGTGTATGGTATATGTGTATGCAAGACGGAAGGGAGGAAGGAGAGGGAGATGGGGGAAGAAGGTGGAGGTGGGCGCTCGTTAGGAATCTGCTTTCCAGGAGGCAGAAAAGAAGTTGTTTCTATAAAGAACACAAATAATGAAATTGCTCTGACTGTCATCCCTTTTTCATTAACTCGGATATGCGGGGGAAAATAAAATAAATCCAGCAGTTTTTATGAAGCAAGAGACAGGATATAAGATAAGCCACTAAGTGTTGGTTATATTTAGGGATTAGGGGCTGGGAAGGGAGTTGACATATGATTTTGATCTTCAACTGTTTAGACCACTTCAGTGAGGAGTTTGAAGAAAATGGATTCCACCTTGTTAGTTGTGCCGGCACCTCTGACCTTTCGCCACTTTCTGAACTCCCATTTCTGAATAAAGTTTGGATCCCTGGGTCCACAAAGCAGGCAGAGGTTGCAAGTGGCTTTTCTTTGTCCAACCTGAGGTTTGCCTCGACTCTGCCGGGTTTTCTGTTGGCCGGCCGCTGCCGGGCTGCTGCAGCGCAACGCTGTCCCCTCACGGCCAGAGACAAAGGTGGGCCGAGCATCTGAGATCAACTGCATGCAGACTGGTACAAATGGAGCATCTTAAAGAGCCCAGAAAAAGAATGATTTTTCTGCCCAGCCAGCATAATGAAGCAGTGGCAGGCAAAATGTATTAATAAAGCATCTTCCACCTTAAATGGATTTCTAAGTATTTTACTGTGGAGTTAATCATGTCTGTAGGCCCCTCGGGAAGGGCTGCTGTTGTCATTACCCACATTCCTAGATGCAAAAACTAATGCTCATTTGTACCTACCTGGGAATTAGATGCAAGAGCCAGGATTAGAATTTATTCTGAAAGGAATCCTCCCTGACATTCTCAAGGCCGCAGGGAAATGACTGCAGAGCCCGGGATGAGTCCCTCTCCTTCCCCAGGACTGGCCTTTGTTTCCACTTGAGGTGGTGAGGACGTGCTTGCGAAGAGGGGTCAGTGGGGAGCATGAAGGATGGCTAAAATGGATGGATGGATGGATGGATGGATGGATGGGTGGATGATTAGAGGTAATTCCTTGGCTTTTGGGAAAGAAGAATCCCAAATTCAGCAGACTGAAAGTCGGCAAACGTAATCTCATTCCTGGTGACTGCTATCTCATAACAGCTTAACTTGGTGAAATCCTTCAATTTCCTTTTTTCACAATTTTCCACTGTAAAATGGGATAAATTAGGGTCTTATAAGAATGGTCTGGTGTTAAAATAGGTTAATTTTCCTCCTTTTCTTCCAAAAATATAAACAAAACTCTCCTGCTCTCCATAGCTGTTATTTTTTTCCTGATAGTAAAGTCTTTCTTTGCGGCCGTAAGTTGACAATTGATTTTTTTGGAGCTATATATCAAGTGGTCCCCACTGGCCAAAAGTAGCAGATGAGTTTCCCTGAGAATTTAATATCAGGAAAAGTCACCAGAGGAGACAAGGGAAAAATGGGCCTAATGATGGATTAATTGAGATCTTTAGTGTAAACTTGCTCAACTTTTCATGGTCGACCACTTTCTGGTCAACTGTTAAAAGAGAAAGGCAATCTGCTCAGGCTTTGTTTGTCACCCTGGAATTTGGCTTCCACCTCTGTAAACCCTACCTTTGTCCCTACCCATCTAAAGTAATTAGAGTGAGGGGGATATGACGGGTGAAAAGTTTGTGTCATTTCTAACATGCATGTCAGCTACATGTAAGTGATGATTACTACTTGCAAGGTGCAAGGACTTTTATGACACCAGGACCCCATAGTTATGACTCAGTCTCTGGTGTTGACCGAATGGTTTTTGGGAAGAACATTTTTCTGTTATTTAACTGTTGTTTAAAAAAAAGCTCCATAGTTGGATGTGATTGGAAGTCTAGGGGAAAAATAAAGCCACTTTTGCCTCCTCTCCATCCCAGGGAGAATTTGGGTCAGTGCAGGGAGCTCCGATGATCTGGAAGTCCCTGAGAAGAGAGCATGTTAGCCTTAGCGGTGCTGTGTAGGTTGGCCGGCTCCGGGCTTCCCCCTTGCTCAGGGGCTAGGCCCAGGAAGGAGAAGGCATTGCATTCTATCACAGCCCAAGTAAAGGGAGAAATAAAAATGTGGATACAGAGGGACCCACAGCAGCCAGAGAGGAGAAGTGACAGGAACTGAGGCAAATCTAGTTTTATCCTGGGTCTCAAGAATCTGAAAAACACACCTCTTAAGAGGACACCAGCTCTGCAAGAGTGCGAAGCCCGGGAAACTCGGGAGCGGCTGTATGAATAAAGCCAGGGGCTCGCACTCGCTCATCTGAGAGAGCACTTGGCAGGGCTAGCGCCTTGAATGTCGACAAAACAAGAATAAAGAATGTAAGTCGGTGTCGGAACTTGACCAAAATTTTGATGCGATTTTGCCAGTTACGCACACGAAAAGGCTTCTGTGATTTTGCGTTTGTTTTATATATGGAAGATCTCTATTTAGAATGGTAGTGTTGAGTCGCTGGAGCTTTAAAGTAGCTTTTGTGGGGGGGACTGGTGGGTGGGCATCGACTATTGAATAAAAAATGAGATTATTCTAAAACATCCTCCAAACACTCTAAAATTACTCTAAATGAGAATGGAATTAATCTTGTAATTTTGAAGGTGCATGTATGCATGCTGCAGGGTTTTCCTTTCCTAGGTAATTAGTTTGTGACCCTTATTAAGATGTCTCGAGCATACGAAGACTGAGGGTAACTTTGCCTTTCTTCTTCATTTGGAAGTGACAGCTCTTCAAGGGGGGAAGTGGTTCGGCGCCTCGCCTTGGCTCCTGCACTGCTGTTTGCGGCGCGGCGCGGCGCGGCGGGGGTTAAGGTGGGCGCCCGCGCCCCGCGCCCGCCCG